TGGGATGATCTTTGAGGTCCTTCCAAAACAAATCCATCTGGGATTCTATGTCTGTGTAACTAAAGCATTGCCTGATTGATTCACTGGAGTGTTGTGACCTGTTCCCCAGTCAGATTCATCCAGCAACGACAGTGTGGATTTTCACCAGAACTCAAAGAGGAACAGCAGGAACAGCTCAACAGCCTGGAACAAAACCCACTCCAGACCTGCCAAGCGGCCAAGGGTCAAGAGCAGTTTTACATCCAAGGTGTGGGAGGTTACTTGTCTCTCCTACATGTTGAAGGTCATGTTTGGAGCAGTTGGCACTGGAGTTGGAATATGGGAGTGCAGCTATTTGATGTCCTGTGCAGCATGAGTTAACCAGAACCCATTTCTAAGGATGCCTTGATTTGGTTTCTGTTCCAGGAAGCAGCCAGGCAGTTCTTAGAGGAAGAGGCTGAGCTGTCCCAGCAGGATGCAGAGGGAGTTTCCTCTGATGAGAGTGATGGTGCAGAGAGTGAGCTGAGCTCCTCCCTGGCTCAGTTCCTCAACGATGATGTGGAGGTCACACAAGCCCTAAATGGTGAGTGAGGAGTTGTGTGTGGATTTCACATCCATGAGGGATGTTCTAAGCAGTGGTGTATGATTGGCATGGCCATGGGTCAGTGATGAGTAGGGACCTCCTCCCCTGGGCTGAAGTGCTGCTCCTGCCAGGGGCATCCAGATCTTTGCCTGCTCAGCAAACCTTCTGCATGAAGGAATGGAATGGAGCTGTGCCTGGGTACGATTTGGTTGGACATTAGGAAAAGGCTCTTCCTCCAGAGGGTCCCACCCCTTGCCATGGGCACGGACACCTTCCACCAGCCCAGGTTGCTCCAGGCCCTATCCAGCCTGGCCTGGAACATTCCCAGGGATGGAGCAGCCACAGCTTCTATGGACTACCTGTGCTAGTGCTTCACCATCCTCACAGCCAGGAATTCCTTCCCAATATCCCATTTAGTCAGGCTCTCCTTCAGCTTAAAGCACTTAGATCTGTGCTTTGGGATTTCCAGAGATGCCTGGAGAATTGCAGGTGTTTTTTTGGGGAAATACAGATTTTTGAGAGACTATAAAGGAATTAATACGGAAAACATGATGTAACAACAAGTTAAAACTTACGTCCTTGATAATCCTGTATTCTCTTTTGCCTTGTTTTGATGCAGACACGGAGATGAGAGGAGTGTACCTGAAGTCTGTGCACAGTCCAGCCCTTGGCAACAGATACAAGATGGTTCACAGGGAATTCAACAGCTCAGCCATATTCTCACAGGTCTGCAGTCAGTGATGCTGTCCCTGGGAAATTCCAGTGTGTGCGTCCACATTCAGGTTCTCATCCTGCCTTGAAGTGCAGGTGCTGCCTGTTGTAGGTGCATACCAAGTTCTGACACGAGACTTCAGCCTGGAGTAGAGAAGCTCCAGGAATCCCTTAGAGCCCCTTCCAGTGCCTAAAGGGGCTCCAAGAGAGCTGCAGAGGGACTTGGGACAAGGATGGAGGGACAGGATACAGGGAATGGCTTCTCACTGCCAGAGGGCAGGCATAGATGGGATATTGGGAAGGAATTGTTCTTCCTGTGAGGGTGCTGAGGCACTGGCACAGGTTGCCCAGAGCAGCTGTTGCTGCTCCATCCCTGGGAGTGTTCCAGGTCAGGTTGGATGGGGCTTGGAGCAACCTGGGCCAGTGGAAGGTGTCCCTGCCCATGATCTTTCAGGTCCGTTCTATCCCAAACCAGTCTCTGTGTGAGAAGCCCCTCAGCCCCCAGTATGGAGAGGGTTGGGTAAGCCAAGTGCCTCCTGGAGAGCAGCAGCAGAATCCCTGCAGTGTTCCCAGACTTACCGGATTGTTTCCCCCCAGATTCCCGAGCAGGACTCAGCCTACGCCGAGGACAGTTTCTGTGTGGGAGATGGGGAAGAGGAAACCTGCAGACAGAGTGAATCTAGTGAAGATGAAGTGTGTGTGAACTTTGATCTCCTCAACAACGAGAGCTTCACCAGTGGCAGGAACCAGTACGTCACTCGGCGCAGGAGGAGACTGAACCAGGCCAGGCTGGAGCAGAACTCTGTGCCAGAGCAGAGGAGGAAACCATCCAGGATTATTGTTCTCAGTGATTCCAGCGAGGAGGAAACAGCTGTCAGCAAGGAGAAGCCCAGGAAACCAGACTGTTCCAGGGCAGAGTTACCCATGTCCTTGCCCTCAGCTCCTTCTGCACAGCACAAAGACACTGCTGGGGCAGCCACAGCCCCCCAGGCTGTGCAGAAGCAGAGGGAGGTGCTGCAGGGCTTGGAAGTTACAGGGTCTGAAACACTGGATTTCCACCCAGAGCCTCCAGCCAGGACCACCTGCTTCCCACCAGCTGTCCCTAGCTCTGGCTCGGGGAAGGCAGATCTCCAGGCTCGCAGTGAGGTCAGTTCTCAGTCCAAACAAGGACCTTTCTCTCACCCTATGTTGCATGAAGGAATTTCTGGGGCAGGGCTGATAGAGGGCTATCAGCACAGCAGCAGGAGTCAGGGAATCATGGAAGGGTTTGGGTGGGAAAGGAGCTTAAAGCTCATCCCATCCCACCCCCTGCCATGGGCAGGGACACCTTCCACCAGCCCAGGTTGCTCCAAGCCCCATCCAGCCTGGCCTGGAACACTCCCAGGGAAGGGGCAGCCACAACTCTTAGGGACACACGAGCAGGGCCATTCACTGGTGCTGCTTCCCACCATCTCCCTTTGCTATCAGAAGCTCTTGTACTTCCAGGGTGACTTGGGGTATCTTAGCAGTCAGCAAATAAAAACTGAGGATTAGATTGTCTCCTGAGTCTGGCAGTCATGGAGGAACATGGATCTGTGTCAAAGTGTCAAGTGTCTGCTGAGTCTTTGGGTTTGTGGTTATAAAATACTTGTTGACTGTCCTGTTAACTCCCTCCACAGCCTGAGTGTGGATTCCTGATCTCTCACACTTCCCAGCCTGACTCCTGCCCTGACAGGATCCATGTTGTGCTGAAGTCCTTAGTGAAAGCTGCTGCTTGTGTCCTTCAGACTCCCCCATGATCACATCAGCTCAGCTGGGAGGTTGATAAGGGGATTAATGTGTCAGGCTGAAAGTGTTAAATATTGCTAACCATAGTTTTTAAAATGATGATTTAAAAAACCCTAATCATCTGTTAGAGTCACTGTGTGATGTCCAACACCCACAGGTGCGAAACTCTTGGAAGAACACCCATGGGAGCACTTCAGGTCCAGGGCATCCTGCTGCCACCAAGCCCTCCTCAGCCACAGCTCAGCTTCCCCGGGAAGCTGTGGAGAAAAGCCCTTCCCTGTGCATCCTGGCAGACAGCAGGGAGATCTGCTCTGGGGCAGAGGTGATCTCCTGCCTGAAGGCAGCGCATGGGGTGAAGGTGCAGGTGTGCTCCCTGGGCAGCAGCGACTACATCGTCAGCAGCTGCCTGGCCGTGGAGAGGATGTTCCTGTCCGAGCTGCTGAGCCCTGGCAACAGGGGCAAGGTCAGCCAGAGGCTGCAGCGCCTCCAGGGGCTGTTCCAGAGGGTCTGTGTCATCGTGGAAACAGACAGGGTCAGGCCAGGTGGGTCTTCCAAGTGGGAAACATGGGATGCACTGGGGTGGCAGGACACAGGGAATGGCTTCCCAATGCCAGAGGGCAGGGACAGGTGGGATGGTGGGAAGTAATTCTTCCCTATGAGGGTGCTGAGGCACTGGCACAGGTTGCCCAGAGAAGCTGTGGCTGCTTCATCCCTGGGAGTGTTCCAGGCCAGGTTGGATGGGGCTTGGAGCAACCTGGGCTGGCGGAAGGTGTCCCTGCCCATGGCAGGGGTGGGACTGGATGGACTTTCGTGTATCTTCCAAAGCAGTCTGGGATTCTATGAAATCAGGAGAGGTTTGGTAAAGCTACATAAGTACAAATGCAGTTGAACACTATTAAAT